GGCAGATTTGGAAGCAAAATAAGACTTAACAGGGAGAGGGATAGACCAAACTGCCTATTTTTAAAACTTCAAAATGGATATTGCATGGAAGCAGAGAGCCTATGGAAGAGTGGAAAAAGAGTTACCTCAGCATTTTTCTTAAACTGAACATGCACACAGGTTTTAGGGACTGAAGAGAGCACAAGGATTACTTTCTTGCATATGACATTTCTATTTATATATTCTAATGTGGAGTCGTTGACTCACGATTGGTTTGTGATATGCTGTCCTTTGCAGATCCTTTTCCCCTAGAATTGCCGTACGAATGATCAGTCCATAAAGTTATTAAGAATTCTGAATTCTAACAATGTTCTTCAGCCATACTAGCATAACATTGTTTTCATACTTAATATTGACAATGAATACATGAAAGATTGTACCAAGGTACGGTAGTTTTTTCAGTAGCATGGATTAGACTTAAGATACTCTGGAGGTACTTTCAAATTTATGATTGAAATCTGATTTCAACACATAAGGCTTTTACGGTACATTTGTTTCTATACTTACATTTTCTTTTGAGCTGAAAAATATGAAGAGGAAATAGTAATAAGGTTTTATTGAAACATACCTGCCTCTAGTCTGGTATTTGTAACAGTAATACGGAGAAAATATATCTCTGCTGTCATGGAAATTTAGGCAGCTGTAAGTATCAATTTTGTGTATGTGTATATGAGAGGGAGGAATATGTAACAAAAACTAGATAATGTCAGTGACTGGCTGGGAAGAGTCAGTGACACAATGAGAAGCCAGAGATCATCTACATGCCAAGGCCTGAGGGCTTAATTTGATATTCTCTGAAAGAGTGGATTAATGCTGCAAGGAAGTGAAATGACCAGGGCAGTAGAAAAATGTGTTCCTTGCGCTTGTTTTTTGGGTGTTGAATCTACATATACAACTGCAGTTTCTTATATGAATGTTATTGAGAAGCAGGCAACCAGGCTTCTAAACAAGTCAGCAGAGTGGCAAATGCATTTTTCAAATGAAAAATCGTTATCCTGTATATCTAAAACATGCTGATGAACGTCTCTCAAACTGTTCTTTATAATGTCTTACTTTCATTTTACACAGAAATTTATACAGATGTGTTCCAAATCCTCTACTCTTCTTCAGGAATAAATTATGTTCTTTCATGCAGCATAGGGTGGCTTTCTAAGCTTCGATTTCCAGCCTTCTTCCCACACCTTCCCTTCCTCGGACATCTTGTTTCCTGTGAAATTTTTTTCCCCATTTCATTCTGCTTAAAATAGCTATAACCAAATTCTTATATTCTGATGATAGCCTTTCGTCATTGTTCATTTAATAGCAGTTCCCGAAGACCCTAGGAGTCTGGTGCATGACGTGCCATGAAAACCGACTCAGTGTATTGCCAACGTGTTAGTAATAATTCCTGACATGATTCAATAACAAGATACTGAATAATTTGAACTGTATCTATTCAAATCCCTGCAGGGTTGAATTTAGCTAAAAATTGATTCTTCCCAGGAGCCACAGGTATTGTTATGTACCCATCATAAACATTTTAAAGGAGTGTTGACAGACACTAGAAGTAAAACTGTAAGCTTTGGTAGACATATGTCTACTATAATAAAAAAACTTTGGTTCCCATTTAGATTAAAACAGTATTTTTACTGGAAAGGTCATGCACAAGTGCTTCTAACACTGGTTTCTATTCAATAAAATGTCTGTTCACAGTGTATTTTTAATTTATCGTGATTCTGATGATAGCATATAGTATAGAAGTATTTTTGATTGATTTATCTACCACCTGAAATTGTGAGATGGAAATAATTCTATTATATTCTATTTTAAGTATGTTAGATTTGTTTATAATAGTGTAAAGTATAAAAAGATTTCATTGACCCTGTCCTTTTTTTTAATGAATTGTGAGAAAGGAAAGATTTGCATGGACATATACTGTATCACCAATTGCTATAGCAAAATTTAGTAACTTATCTTTATGATAAAAGTACTAACTATACATTTGATGTAAATGCAACAGAAGAAGAATTCTAAACTAATACAAATCCCACAAGTTCTAAAGAACAAACCATTTGTAAAGTCAAGAAAGAATCTTGCATAATGAATGATTGTATTGACAAAAAGGTTGCATCAAAATTTATTTTAGTTTAAACTTAATTTAATTAATTAAATTTAGTTAATTTTAGTTAATTTAGTTTTAGTTTAAGTTCTCCGTAGGCTCCTTTGAGATTTGCATATTGAAGTCTAGGTGTTATCAGTATTCTGCAGCCTGAATTCTGAGATTTCATTCTAACAGGCGGTATCTTGTAAAAAATGTTAAGCCACAGACGAGTGAAAATTGTAGTTTTTGAAAAAATTAATTTTAGTTATTGACTTACTTTCAGGAGTCAAGAGTGCCTAAGTTTAGTACACACTGATTTTCTTCATTATTTAATACTATGTGTTGATAAAGTATCTAACTAGTCCTTAGTGGTACAATAAAGAAATGAAATGAACTTTATACATACTTGTCATAGTATATGACAGAAAGAGAATACTTAAATTCTGTCTGCATAGAATGATTGGATGTTCTTTGATCTACATTTGATTCATTATAAGATTTTAGAGCATTTAATCTCTTGAAGAAATATTTGCCAGCAAGCAGACCTCTATTAAGAATATGTATGTATTATTACGTATGTATATAAACCCATTACATATTAATATACATATCCTTGAAAATTTTGTTGAAAATACTATCATAGTTACGTAAACTGAAAAGATTTCAATATTACTTAATCTTATTTTGGTGAACAAGATTCATTTTGAGATGTAAGGTGATTAAAATAAAAACTTGGTTTAGTACTTACTGCTCTTTTGTATTGCAGTCAGTTGGATAAGACTCATCTTTTCCATTGGTGAGATGTTCCACACAGATTCCCAATGTGTCATTTTTGTTAAGCCTGCTTTTCTTTTTTGTGCTGAGTAATTTTAGTTTTAATTCTTGTTTATTTTAATAATTTTATTGTTTTTATTAACAGAAAATAATTTTGAAAATTTGAAAGAGTAAAAAGCAAGGCAAAGCATAAAACTATCACCTGAAGTACAATTTTGAGTTTAACCCACCAATTTTATATTGTAAATTAAAAACTGAAGATCTGTAGTTGAAAAGGTGTATATAATACTAACAGAGTTGCTTTCATGCCCAGTTAAATGTAATAAGTAGTTTTGTTAAACACTGTGCTTGTTTTACAGTGTGTTTTTAAGGTGATTTGAGATTTACTGCTGGGAAAATCTTTAATGTTCAAAGTAAATTGTTCTATTGGGGAGTTTTTGATGTCCAATAGAGGCAAAATGCTATGATAAATGAAATAGCTAAATTCCCTAAGGCAAACTAACTTCATTACCTCATTTATGGATCAGTATGACAAGTTTAAAAAGAAAGGTGATTGCTCTGGAGCAATTCAAATGGCACAAAATCTTGTGATAGTTGAACTGAACCAATAATTAGCCTGAATGACAGCAAACTTTGATAGAGTAACAGAAGGAAAAGAAAAAAAGCCAAATAAAAAATGTTCTATTTATTGTACATACTAGTCCTAGGTCTTCTATAAAACTAATAGAAGTCGGGTTGTTTCCAATACAAATCTCTGTTTTATTATGCTTGCAAGACTTTAAACTTGATTTCCCACCTTTTCACTTGCCAGTTAAGAAAAGGAGCTTTTTGTATCCAATATTTTCATATTGTTTGCTTTGGACAAATTACTTAGAACGAAAGTTGATCATACTGCTGTGAGAAATAGCATACATTGTTTGCATATCTAAGCTTCTTTGTATGATATAAAATTACAGTATATTACACTGCTATATTTTGTCATACTGAGTTACATATGCATGACTTGGATGCATATTAATTAATGCTGTAGACTATTAACTCTGATGTAATACTGAAGTTGGAATGATAAGTAGGGAGTGCTATGTTGACATTTCTGACCAGCACTATGTGGGAATTTTTTGAGTTGAAATTGCTGTGCCTGCAGGAATTTGGGGAAATCACAGCTCGTTAGCTGCTTCTGTTGAAGTGTTGACTTCCCTTTGTACAGTGATTCTGAAAGAACCATGGAAAATGCTCTTTCAGGAGTCATTGTCTTCCAAAGAAACAAGGTGATACCAGTCAGCTGCCTCGTGGCATAACAGAAGATAGCTTGTAGGGACTTAATCATCTGGAATAGCAGTGTTGGATCGGATTATTTAAAGGAGATATTTCTGTGTCAAGTGTTTTATATTTTTTTGATATATGGCAAGAAAAGTGATTTTTTTTTTTTTTCTTCCTGCTATTTCTTTCTTTTTAACTGTCCTGAATTGTAGATTAAAATATATCAGGTAGAAGTGAAGCTTTACGATTAGTAATGATAATTTGAGGGATAATTTATGTGTACCTCTGTCAATTTAATTGATGAGAACACTTTTTATAGATTGAGAAAGTGTTTTAATTTGTTTATTTAATGTTTTATCTGGGAAGATTTTCAACTTCGGTTGTGTTTAGTCTATTTTTGACTTCCTAACATGTTAACTATATATATGGCATATTTATGAAATGAAATAGTCAATCAAATCATCTCATTAAATACAATAGTATTTGAAAAAGGTACCTTTTTTCCCATACTGAACTATTAATTATTGCATTCAGCAATTAAAAACCAGTAAGTCTGCTTAAAGGCAAGGTACAAGTTAGAATTTGCTAAATTGATATTCTAGATATTTACTCATAAAAACCATTTTGTTGAAACACACACTGCTTACATTTCTTCAAAGATTAGTAATTGTCCAATTATGTAATAGCTTGCAATAAAGCCATTTAGAACTGGGAAAGTGAAGTATTTCTGTCATTATGGTTTACTTAAAGTAAGAACACAGTCTAAATGTGAAGATTTTTAATTACTGCTAAATAAACACTTCAGAAAAATATTTGCACTAAGGGGCTTTTTGTTTTTGTTCTGCAGTCTCAGTTTGAACTCAGGGTATTCCATATTCGTGGAGAACATGCTGTATCAACTGCTCAGCTTGAGGAAACCATTGCATATCTGAAGAAAGAACTCGATAATAAATTAAATAGAAGAAATGAAAAAGCAAAGGATATTGGTGTTTCAACTGAAGATGATAACCCACCAAAGACATACCGAAATGTATGTATACAGACTGACAGAGAAACTTTCATAAAGCCTAGTGAGGAAGAAAACAGAGCTGTGAAAAATAACCAATTAGTACCCAAAAAGCTTAATATTTCTTCTTTGTCACATAGTATTTCTGCCCAAAGTGAAAATAAGGACAATTACCATGTACAGTCCTCAGAAAGTGTCTTATCTTGTCAACCAAAACAAATGCTGCCACCTCCTCCACCACCACCACCTCCTCCTCCCCTTCCTGATTCTTCACTACCAAGTTTAGTTCCTCCACCACCACCTTTGCCAACGGATCTGACTTCACTGACGTCTCAGCTTGGATCTGGTCCACCACTGCCACCTCCACTTTCTGAAGACTGTAGGAATTTTCAAGCACCACCGCCACCTCCACCGCCACCGCTTCCGGGGTTGGGACCGCCTGTTCCTCCTCCACTGCCTGGATCTGGGTTACCTCCTCCCCCTCCACCTCCTGGGCCTGGGTTCTTTTTTAATAGCACTTTATCTTCAAACCAAGGTCCTCGAAAACCTGCCATTGAACCTAGCCGTCCCATGAAGCCTTTGTACTGGACACGGATACAATTGCAAGGCAGCAGGTAAAATATATTTATTTGGACTTAAGAGTTGCTTTTTATAGATCGTGATACAAGGGATGTATACTATTTAAGACTTAATAACAGAAAATTAACAGTCTAGGAATGTGTAGCAAAATCAGTGTAGAGGCATGGAATTTACATGTTTTAAGAAAAAAATGGAAGGCCAAGTATAAGGTACTGCACCTAAGTTAGGGCAATCTCCAATACGCAACACAGACTAGGAGATGAATGGATTGAGAGCAGCCCTCTAGAAAGGAACTTGGGGATACTGGTGGACATGAGCCAGAAAAGTGAGCTTGAAGTCCAGAAAGCCAATAATATCCTGGGCTGCATCAAAAGAAGCGTGGCCAGCAGGTCAAGGGAGGTGATTCTGCCCCTCTGCTCTGCTCTCGTGAGACCTGACCTGAATACCGCATTCAGCTTTGAGGCCCTTGGTACAAGAAAGACGTAGACCTGTTAGGGTGGGTCCAGAGGAGGGCCAAGAAGATGATCTGAGAGCTGGAGCACCTCTCCTATGAAGACAGACTGAGAAAGTTGGGGCTGTTCAGCCTGGAGAAGAGAAGGCTCCAGGATGACCTTATTGTGGCCTTTCAATAAATAAAGGAGGCTTATGAGAAGGATGGTGAAAGATTTTTTACCGAGGCCTGTAGTGACAGGACAAGGAGCAATAGTTTTAAACTGAAAGGAGGTAGATTCAGATTGCATATAAAGAAGAAATTTTTTACAACAAGGTTGGTGAGACACTGGAATAGGTTGCCCAGAGAAGCTGTGGATGCGTGATCATTGGAAGTCTTTAAAGTCAGGTTGGATGGGATTTTGAGCAACCTGATGTAGTGAAGGATGTCCCTGCCCGTGGCAGGGGGGCGGCACTAGATGATCTTTAAAGGTCCCTTCCTTTAAAGGTCCTTCTGACTCAAACTGTTCTATGATTCTATGACAGTAGACTTAATAGTATATACCATTGTAGCAAGGCTAAAGTTACGATGAAACATACTGTTTTATTGATTTGTTTATAAGGGATCATTTAGTGAACAGGCATAAATAAACAATTTTTGGACAGTCTTTTTGAAATGATCCCACAACTTTTGTTTATGCTATCCATTTATTCAGCGGACAGGAGAAAAGAAAGTACTTACATGTACACTTTCTGGGCCACCATGCATACCTTACTGCCACAGTGGTATGTGGTTTCAGTGCTGCTCAACTGCTTTTTTGGATTTTAACTAAATCTATCTTTTCCTCAAGTGTTTATTCATCTAACGCAGAGCTCTATTAAGAGAGTTGGCTCAAAGAGTATTAAGTGACACAATAATTCTAGTTTAAAAAGGAGTTGCTAGAATCATGAAATAAAATTTAGGTCTTATGTTATGCAAGTAATGAAATGACATGATTATTCTTGTTCAAAATTATTTTAGCTTAAGTGCTAAAAAATGCTAAAGATGCTAAGTTTATTTTAAACATTTTAATAAATTATTTTTTATTATATATGACGTATAGTCATAACAATATACACACATGCTATATTACATACTGTATTATATACAGTGACTATAGTCTATTATATTACTATATATTACAAATTATTATATTACAGATGTTTTATTATAGATGACATATAATAATGATTATATGTCACTATTTAAGTATTGCAAATTATTTACAATTATTCTGAATATTTAAGTTATTCTTAAGATTATATTTAAACACTGTTAAAGTAAATATCTACATTTAATTGTATTTAAATATGAGATTTTAGTTTACAGTTTTTTGTCTGAATTTATTTTGATGCGAAAGAATAATTATTCTGATATAATAGAGCATTGTAAAGTATTAATATTTTATATCAAATGTTTGACAGGAACAAACAGTTAATGAAATGTAGTTGTTTTCTTTCAATGATTCAGAATTAAAGTCATTGAAATATTTTGGAGAACGAAGTTTGAGCATTTTGGTTTTACTTTTCCAAAATTACTAGTGAAAAGTTGATTTATGGTGAATAAATAGTTGGTCCATAAATAAACCTTATTGCGATTCTTCTTATTGGTTCACTGAAATCCAAATGTTTGTTCTGAAATATTACTGGTTCATCAAGCTTTTGCTGAATCCAAGATAAGGTCTAAGTCATAGCTTTCTGGTGAAATGCTGGTCACCAGATGTAATGGTCCAGCATTTTCATGGTCTGCGTTAGAACTGGAGACTTCTTCAAGGGTGTACTGCTCACATCAGCAGCTATCCAGGACTTTAATGTTCTTGTTACTGAACCAGAAAGAATCCGTTCTTTAGTGTAGCTGATACTACAGCTAGTGTCAGGGAGAGTGAAGCTGTGGAGCTGTAAACATGTTCTGTAACATCAGTAGATGAAAATGGAAAAATTAGAGTTCCTTAGTCATTCACAATAGTAAATGTACAGTTGAGTATTAAGTTAAAAAAATCTTATTTTTTTAAATATAGTAATTAATTTTGATTCCCCTTAAATTGATAGGTATTGCATTTTGATGAGTATTTGATGAGGCTAATAAAAGCATGTTTAGTGACATCAGCCATTTGTATTTTACAGAGGTTTTCATCACTTCTTTTTTTATTGCAAATGATTTCACTGCCTTCTAGTGACATCTGCTGGAAGAAGTGGCCCACCTTCTCCTGATAGGCAAGAGCACTCAGAAGTTTTGTCCCACGTACCTTTCTGAAGCATTGAAATTTTGAAACAAAGCTCATTCAGAATTGAAGTGTTGTATATGCAGCACTACATAGTATTTTTCCCAAATCCAGATAAAACTAGAGGATTGTGTAAACAAGTTCCAAAGTGATGTAAAACTAAATCTAGTCTTGGAGGGCGAAAAAAGAAGGAAAGATAATCCACATTTAAAATTAACAGTTGGTTGAATGGAGCAGAATACTCCATACTCCACTCATTCCAAAATACAGGCCACATAATTACTCTAGTTTCTCAAAACTGCAGTGGATAAATATGAGCGTGCAACATCTGCAGCTAACATGAAGTGAATCAAGTCCTATACAAATGACCCCAAATGCTCTTAAAATATGCTTGAATAAACTTTGCTCACTATTTGTTGATATTGTTTATTTTTGTAAATCTAAATAGATTACTGAGAATTTCTAAAAAAAGCTGCTGTTGAAATACTCCTAATCCTAGTTGAAGTGGCAGAAGTCTCTCGAGATGTATTTGCACAAGCTGCAGTTGTAATATTCGGTTGTTATACAAAAAAATGTACCATATAAATAATGCATTTTGGTAGTCTAGCAGGCATGGATACTAAACAGCTAAACTTTTTGTTACAGCCTTCTGCAAAACGTTGGCTCTTTACAAGAGCAAGGTATAGGGAGGGAATGCTGTTTGTATAGTAGCAGTGCATGTTACTTAGAGTTTTAAATCTCTTATGGATTTTCATCTATTATGGCTTTTCATAAATGTTTATTGGAAATTTTATTACTGCCTTTCTCTTCATAGGAAAACTGCCATGCCAACATTATGGGAATCACTAGAAGAACCTGATATACTTGATACTACTGAGTTTGAATATTTATTCTCCAAAGACACCACTCAGGAAAAAAGAAAACCATTATCAGAGACTTACGAAAAAAAAACCAAGGCCAAAAAGGTATTTATCGTTTCTTTATATTTGCTTTTTTTGTGGCACTGTTTACTTTTACATTTTAAGAAAACTCCCTTTTTATTTATTGTTGGACGAACAGATAATAGATGACTTTGTAAATCTAATTTTAAAGCAAAGTAGTTGGATTACTGATTGAACTCTTGCTTGAGAATGTGGAGTTATTGTTCTCCTTGGAAGATATCTTGCCTTTGAAAATGCAAGTTCCACATCCCAGTGAGGTAGAAAAAATCTCGTATAGGAGAACTGAATGAAAGTTCTAATAAGTATCTAAAAGTGCGAATATTTCAGGCCATGTCTGCCCTTGAACCAATTTATAACTAAAGGCTGTCATTAAGTTACTCTAGCAAACCTCTCTTCCGAAATTAATTTGCAAGATAGGACTGTTAGACATTTTGAACAAGGAATGCCAAAAAACTTTTTTCTATTATAGCTAAAGAGCTGTGTCAGGAAGGGACAGAACAATCATGTCTTTAAAGGCGAAAAGTTTATGCAATATCATTGCTGTAGCACAGATATTGTCTGCCTGAGACGTGATCCGTTATGGAGAGGACTGGTACTCGTCAATTCCTATGTGCAAATAGGACAGAGAAATGGCATTAGTAGTATTTGCTGCAGGAAAAATTTTAGGCTAATAATTGATATTGTTCTCCTAAAACAACGTGATTATGTATTAGAAACCCATTTAAATACATACCATACCGTAAATCTGTTTGAGTTTACGTGCTTAGAACCACAAGAGGGCACTTTGTATGTCAGCGATGCTATCTACCTTTTCCAATTTCATAATACATATAGCATGAAATATGTGTACATATCAGTGCAATCAGATCTTTCAAAACATCTTTGATCATAAACTTCCTGTATTGTGTCTTAGCGCAGTGGTTAATGAGAAAAATGAATAGGATAATACTTACTCTATACAATATAGAAAATAATAGTATAATAATAAGTACTTTTTGTGAGAAACCAGTGTATTTTCTTACAAAGAGATCTTCTTTATTTATGTTACTGTTTGAATTACTTTGTTTTGTTATTAAATGTAAACTTATTATTTTAAGACTAGGGATATATTTACTGAAATTAATGAAATGAAAAAAGTTCCTTTAAAGTACTGTGTGAAAATACAAAAATAAATCCTCTAAGAGATAAATTAAGGTTTATATCTATTACTATGTCTTTAGTTTGATAAAACTCATGGGGTTATGATCATGGTGTTACAAATCATGGGAATTGTAGGGCTTTCTGTGAAAGTTTTGAAAACTCGCAGTCAACAATATTAAACTTTTTGTCATTTAGTCAATTTAAAAATAAATCAGCTTTTAGAATTCAAAAGAGATTTGAATTTAATTGAGTATAGAAGCATTTTCTTACAGTATAGCCTGTCTTTCCATGTTTCTCTGTTAAATGACTCATAGTAGCAGATGAATATTTTTACAGTCAGTTGGTCCTCTTAGATGGTCCTGTGTGCTTAGTCTGTGAAATGAATGCTTATGTGGAAAGCATTGCATTAAGCCTGTAGAAATTTCACTTTTTTCTATTCTTACCCATTTGTCCACATAGTAGACATCTTATGGCAATGACAGATCAAAATATTCACTGTATGTTGCGCTTTTGTTGCTTACAGTTGATAGACATCTACCATTTTCAGCCAGAAATATCTAAACCTTGTCCTACATAAATGAAATGGACAGTCTGTTTTCCAGTACCATTTAGCAAGTTATGCTCAAAAGGGAAACTTTTGAGTATGTATTTATATTCATATATATATTTATACTCATATATGTATATAAAATGGTTTTACAATATAATACATAAGGTATAAAATAAATATTTGTACTATAGAATATGTTTATACTAATACATGTACTCAGTGTCAAAATAGCAGAATACTTTGAGGATTCTGTGGGCTTCTATGCTGGATCTGGTTACCTCGATGTTTTCACTTACGACCTGATAATGGAATATTAACTCTGCAGCCACCACCTATTTGCGACAGGCTTCAAATTTACTGGAGGAGACCCTTTACAAAGATCTCGCATATCAGAGAGATGGTCTGAAAGACAGGAATAAGCACAAAGCTAATACAGTTAACCACAAGGTTAATACAGTTAAGGATATTCAGCTACCTAAAAATGAGATGGGATATAACTGGCTAAGTAATAGCTTAGCAGAAAGGATCTTGTGATTATAATGGCTCACAAGAGGAACATGAATTGTCAAATTGTGGTTCTATAAAAAGGGAAAACAAAACTCTGATAGATCAATAGAAGCGTTGATTGCAAGATAATCTCCTCAGCTATGTCTCACTTAAGAACTGCATCTAGATTTAGACACTACAGCCCTTCATTAGAAATGTTTACTAACTGTAAAGAGTGAGAATGATGAAAAGTGTAAAATTAGTCTCTGAGAAAATAATTGAATTATTATGACTGTTTAGTCTAGAAAAGAGAGAGTTGATTGGGACACATAGTAAGTGTCATCAAGTGCATGCAGCTGCTGCAAAGAAAAATTATGAAAAGCTTTCTAAGAGTAAGGATACCAAAGGAACACAGAAAAATTTTGGCTAGGGAAATTATGTTTCTGTATTGAGAGATCTTTAAGAAAATTTGTTTAGAATGATCCACATATAGTTGATACTGTCTTGAAGTGCAGAAATGCTTTGGATGACATTTTGAGTGCCTTTCCAACATCATGATTCTGTTACTCAATTAAAAGACATAAAGTCCATGTTCAGACCTATGGATGGAAACAGCTGGCTATCCTTTTTCTGGAGTGGAAGCACCTTCATGATTCCCAAATTCGTTTCTTTCGTGCCTGCCTGAAATGCCTTATTAATTAGATGCTGTCATCCTGACATGAGGATGAAATTATTAGAATTTGAAATGCAGTCATTAAAAAACAAGGTATTCTAACAAGTATGTGGGGAAAAAAAGGAAGGAAAGTTAAGAATCTTCCAGCAGCAATGGTAATATAACTTCTTAAAGGACTGCATAGAGGGTGATTTTATTTAATTTTAGACATGTATTCATTTATTTTGGAAAAATATACTACATTCACTTGATAGTGATATAATGTAAAAAAAATGTAGTTTAAGTGAAGGTTAGATGTACCTTTCTGGTACACTTATATATTCTCGAAGTTTGTTATGGTAATGCTTGTCTGAGCTTAGAAGCTCTGCAAAGTGTGTGGCTGCTTATGCTTCTTCAATTATGCACTCCTTTGGAAAATTTAGCCGCTTTGGAAGAACCTCCTATTTTTTTTCCAACCCTACATCCTCTGAAATATTTCAGAAGAACCTTATTCTTCTGTGTTTATCTGCTCTGCATATACACAATCTTGTAAATAAAAATCCTGCAATATTATGTAGATAATGATAAAAATAAATATTCTAGTTTTTTAGGTGTTCGGAAATATACTTTGGATCTAAACGTATTTATGCTATGTGAGGTGTTGTGGTCTTTAGTTAAGCTTTTTCAAATGGATGTAGTTGTTGCCACTTTCAAAATTACTTAGAAGTTAGAGCTTCTTGGAAATCAAGAAGAAAACGTGCTAGATGTACCAGGTTATTTTAGTATATAACTTCAGTTTAAGCATTGATTCTATTGGACATTTAGACTTTAAATGCCTTTTGAATATGAGTCCTATTCACTGACATGCTTGTGAAAGTGCAACTGTTAATCGTGCCTGTTTTCATCATAATTTCTGTATTTTCTTATGCTTAGATTTCAGTTGTGTCATTCTGGACGTATGATTTCTGCACCCATTGTGTATTAGCCACTAACACTCCCATTAAAGCATTTGTCTAGGAATGTATGGTTTATTTTGAAAAACATAGCCTAAGTTATATTTGTGACATTGTAAATGGACTTCAACTATAAAGTTTTATGTATCAACTGTAAGTAGATTCAGTGCAGCACCATTAAGGTCCATAGCTGTTTATGAAAACAATGAAAATGAAAACAATTACCGTATTAAAACTCTAACCTATTTTTCTGGGGGAAGAAAAAATTGGTTGTTTTTTAAAGAACTCAGCTTCCAATAGATTTGAATATAATTTGAAGGATCTAACATCTTTCCCAGACTCCGAAAGTCTTCTGTAGATGTTTTCATGTCAGGTGAACTGAAGTTTTACATGCAAACAATTTTGCCTTCATTCATTCTAAGCTGTTAACATTTCTTCCTTGTACATATCCATGCAAATTTTTAAGCTGATAGGCACATGTAATTGTTTTCAAGCCATAGGTTTTCCCTTTCCTGTTAAATTTGCAGAACCAAAATCTGTTCTTGTGGTACCAAATAGAAGAAAGGCAGAATTAAGACATATATTTTGGAATGAGATAAAAAACGTGATTCATTATATATTAAGCTATGATACCCTGTAAGCCCGAAAAAGTAATTTAGAGAAGAACATTCCTTTGCTGTGATTTATTCCATGTGCATTCTGTAGATCAATTGCCAGACTTACACATATTTTGAAGTTGCATTAGTTTTTCCAAAATAGATGAGCACTTGTTCGTAACTTATCCTCAAAAACTCGAGTATTTTCTATACTTTTTCAAGAAATAGGATAGTTGGATGTTTGTGATGCCACTCTGTCTTCATCTTACAAAAAAAATGAGTAAAGGTCAAGTAATTTGTGTCAGGTGTATGCTCCAAATGGAAGTCCATCAATCATTTTTGGCCCTTTAGTGCGATGATTATCATTTCAAAGATGCAGGAGAACATTAAAGATAATGGCTTTTCTGTTGTCTATTATCTCTAACAGGCTTCACATAATTATTAACATGTGTTCTCATTTAAGAAGAGTGTCAATATTTTGAGTGAATTGCATTTTTTTAACTGAAAGGGATATGTCTGTCAGCAAGTTTTTTGCCCTTCTAACTAAATGAGGAATTACAATTAATGAATTTTGTGTTTCTGCAAGAGCAGATATTGCAGAAAATGTTGGAAGCTTTGCAGGGTTGAAACACAATGACTGTCTTCAGCTGTCTGCATAAGATAATAGTGTTCAAACTTGAGTAGAAGTAGTAAAATGCCAGTGCGTGTGCTTCCAAGGCGCTCTCACTTTTTTTTAATGTTTTTTGTGCTGTATTGAGAAGAGTGAATATGGCGTTTCCTTGTTTGCCACAAAGCTCTGCAGTCATGTTGGATATGGAAAGTATCCGTAAAGGGTAAACATCTATTTTGTGGCTTTGTCTTGTTTTTACACTTTTGATTGGAATAAAGACATTGAAATAAGTTTCTTATTCGTTCAGTTCTTATCTCCTGTTTTACCCTGAGAAATTGCCATTTGCTTGTCCTTTAGCAAAAGGCTAAAAATAGTGGAAGTTTTTCATCCAGCAGAATTGCAAATAGAATTACATGTCTCCTAAAATATTTTTAAATATTTAAAAAATAGAAAGCTATGGTTCATCCATGTTAACTAAAAAATAGTTAAACTTGGCTTTCCTTTGAGTAGGAATAGAAGAGATAATGTCTCGTCTTAAGCTTCCGAAATGTCGTTGGTAACTCTTGGGTGTTTATGTAGAATGGCTTGAGGGGCAGTCTTACTTGCTTCTTGTGCAGGATATTCTTCCTCTGTTTGAACAGGGTGTCAGGAGACTTCTTATGGGTCCAGGCTGTTGACTTCACCATAAAAGCTAATGAGTGGGAACGGAGGAAAACACAGATATGAAGGACAGCTTTTTAGCTTATGGTTTCTCTCAATAAATTTAAATATTATGGAAAGAATCCATGCACAAGCAGGAGAATGGATTTAGCTTTTAATCACTAAAGTAAACTGAATCTGTTCAGATTTCAGCACCAGCAAGTGTCCTGGATAGAATGTAGACATTACAGTTAGACAAAACAGTGAAGTCTGTCATAGAACGTTTGATGAAATACATTTCTGGCTACATGAGCAAAACACCTTTTAATGGGAATGACACAATAATTTATGAAGGTATTCAAGCTTCAGTATGTCTCCACTTTTAAATTAAATGATAAATATTTGAAAGATGTAGAAGAGGCACTTGTGTACAGCAATTCAACTAGCTAAATAACAATAAAAAATAGTTGGGGAACACCACATAGAGCAGATAATGTTATGGATCAGTGGATTAAATGAATTAGCACCAGCAGTCACAGTTTTGTCACTGAGCCAGAGGATGCTGCATCCGCTACAACGATACATTTATAGTCTGCAAGAGTGGCAGGCAGCTGGCAAACCCTGCCAGCTGGCGTAGCAGCATCAGCTGGCCTCAGCTGGGTTTTAGCTGCTTACCTGTCACTGCCAGCTGCAGGCAAGTCCCAATATGCTGAGAGGTGATCAGTGATTTGTCTTTTAAAAGCATAGACTAAATAGTTCAGTACAGTCTTTACAAACTTTCATTTTATTTGTGTTATGGTTTTTATGGCCTGGAAAAGTGCTGATTTTTTTTTTGTGTCTCCTTTCCATTTGATAGTCACACACATATTTAATTCCCTGTCAATGATTTCCCCAGAATAACTGTAATTTGGAGCAAGATGAGTATCTCTGAAATCATGTTCTCTGTTTTACTACTGATTATATGTTTTTGTTGTGAAATCTTTTAAGTTACACATTGCTTCTAAAAAGCTATGGCAAACATCCTATGTAATACCTAGCATTACAAATCATAGAATCATAGAATGGCATAGGCTGGAAGGGACCTTAGAGGTCATCGAATCCGACCTCCCTGTCATGGGCAGGGACGCCTCTCAACTAGATCAGGCTACTCAAGGCTCCATCCAACCTGGCCTCGAACACCTCCAGGGAGGGGGCATCCACAACTTCTCTGGGCAATTTATTCCAAAGTCTTACCACCCTGGTACTGAAGAATTTCTTCCTAAGATCTAATCTAAATCTGTTCTCCTTCAACTTAAACCCATTTCCCCTTGTCCTATCAGCGGACACTCTTGTAAAAAGTCCCTCCCCAGCCTTCCTGTGTGTTTTTAGAGTTGTTTTATGCCAAATTTAAGCTATTTTGTTGTCTTCTTGCTCCATTTTTTACTCTCTAATGAATAAAATATTAACCTTCAGTTAGATTTCAGTTGATCGAGGCTATTTCAGGTAGTCTGAGTCTAGTTTGATGCCTGGTAATTGTGACCATGTGTACATTTCTCTAAAATGCCTGTGAACATACAGTTAGTTGACCATTTTAAAGCATGGAATCTCTGTTTTAGCTTTTAAAATTATGCAAGGTCATTTCTAATTTTTTTTCACTAATCTTTTAAGGAGGAAGTCTTGCTCAGCAATGTGAGCTAGTTTGATCATATCTGGAGAACATATTAGCACTTAAAAATACTTTAATAGAATGATTTCAAATGTCTTATTGTCTACAATGGCTATAGTCTGGAAAGGTTTTGCCTCAAACTAGGCATGTCTTATGGGGTTTATGACAACCTATGAATTTGCCCCCGAACAAGGTCAACTTGGAGGTCAGTGAATGCTATACAAATTGCATACTACTCAAGCCTGTAATTATCCCTGTAAGAAGTTAATGTGTTGTGGAGTTCAGCAAATTCATGTAAAGCTTCAGCAATGGCCATGATAAACTGAGTAGTTACTTACATTTGCTCTGAAAAATCACAGTCAACAGGATGTGATGCTTACAGAGCATTCAGTCATGGTTATTTGTAGCCAAATCATCATGTCTGCTCGCGTACTCGGGAGATAAAGAGCCTGATTTCTTTCTTGTTTGGAGAAAACACTTTAAATAGTATTACTTTATCCAACATACATGCTGTATATGTAGGCTGAAAAAAGCTCTCGGGATAGATTTTAGTTCCGATTTTGGCAGAAAATATGCAAGATATACTTTAACTGAAGTTCATTAAATGTTGAGTCCCTACAAAAGGTTCACAAAATATCTGTCGCATCTTTGTTGAAGACAGCATATATTCCAACTTGTTAATGTGTTGTCCAATTTCAGTACTCTTTAAATAAGAACTATGCATTTTCAGGTGAAAATGGCGCTATCATTTATCTTTCTCCTGTATTTTTCAACCAATAATTTACTTTTATATAGGTCAATGACTAAGTAGTTGCATAGTTAAATATTCCTAAATCCCATAAAACATAGGTAAGAAACATGTTTATGAGTTAGTTTAAATTTTGTCAGTTAACTGTACTGTGAGCATCTAGAAGAATATTATAGAGATAACAAATAACAATTACTTAAAGTTTTTAATATTATTAAATATGCAAATATTAGTGTCACCCAACTGTTAAAATTAAATTTGGATACATATAGATTAAATATTTTCCAGATACTAGGAATATAAATTTAGGGAAAACTTAGTTTTGATTTTACATATGAGTTAGTATTTTTAATAGTATTTGTTCATCAACACTATGAATTAAGCCAGCTGCTTGGATCTGAACATTTCTTATTTTGAAGAACATATGTCCGTATTGAATCTTGTGATGTGTTGTTGTCATATCTTCCTTATGACATAAATCAAAATCACAAATTCCAACAGTCCAAACATTGTGAGAAGTTTGATTTAAACACTACTAATGTCTCAACTACACTTCTAAAATTCTGATGTTTACTTTTCGTTACTTTATTTATGTACTGATCCACATCAGTATCACTAATTTCAACCAGCCAAAATAACTTCCTCAGGGTTTCCCTCCCTTCTTTTTCATCTCCTGTCCTCACCTGACATCTGAAAAAGATTACAATCTGAACGTCAGTATATTGTAATAACAAGTGTCTGTTACCCAAAATGTGAACAAAATCCTCAAATCCTTGTGAAACGTCAAGGATGTGGAAGAAGCACATTCAGATAAGAGTGAAAGAAATCCCTTCAGTAGCCTCTAGTGTCCCAGAAATAGTGTTGAAAGGCATAAGAAGATAATTCTCCAATTCTCCTTGGTCAGGAGTTGATACTTTATCAAAAAGATAGACTTAAATGTGTTCACAATGAAGTATAAACAAGCAGACAAACTAAGGAACTTGTGATGTACTCAGAGTGTCTTAAATCTTTTGACCCTGATCACATTAAGGAGAAGGGGGAAAAGGTATATTCCAGAATAAATATTTGATGTGCTTTTTTTTTCCCTTCTTAATAGCATCCTACAAGTAAGAGGTGGTGTTATTTCCTAGACCTGGTAAAAATTCAAGCTTACATTTATCAGCCACTTGTTAAAGTGCAGAGTATAGAGATAAGATGAAAGTATTACTACACATTTACTTAATAAAAAAAGTTTGATGTTTGCAGAGACATTGAATTCAATTCACAAAATTAGCCTTTGTTGTTAATGCGAATGAACTTTGTAGAATGTTCGTTTGGTCTCAGATCATTTTGCATCACTTTGTAGATTATCAAATTGTTGGATGGAAAACGGTCTCAAACTGTAGGAATTTTAATATCCAGTTTGCACCTGGAGATGAAGGATATTCAACAAGGTAAGTGTTTCTTACACTTAATGTATCATATTTGCAGGGATGTTTTCTCATACCCTTTAGAGAATTTTTTACATTACAGAATGTGCTTTGAATATAGTCCTCTTTAAGATATCAGAAGAATCTTTCTTCCAGTATATTCGCAACATGTAAAAGTTTCACTTAAATAATCAGAGTTTAATTTAAATATAAGTCCTTCTGTAGCGTTTCAGTTCGCGTATCACTTTCAGTACAGTGTTTTCTCAAAGCTGTTTCATATTCCTCCCCTACAATTCTCTCCATTTTCTAAAGCAAGTCCTCCACTTACAAAAATTAAATGGAGGACTTTTATATAAATCTTCTGGTCTTCAAACATGCAGTTGGTATTTGTTGAATGTTTAAATTTTGCTTCGTTAGCAGTATAAAAAGCACATCCAAACTGATGCAGCTACCATGTAGCAATCAGAAAGATGATTACTGGGTAGCATTTTTCAAAGCGTACAGCTACTCAGTGTATAAATTCCATTACTGGTAGGAATTATCCAAGTTTACCAATACAACTGTAGAAAAATAAAGATTTTTTAGAACACTGGGGTAATTCAGATTCTGCTTATGTTCTGGATTTAAAAAGATATTGTTTAAGGATGTTGTTTATTTCTTTTTCACATTAAAAAAAAGGAAAATATTCACTATTTAAAACAACTGCTGGAAGAATTCAAGTTGATGTCTCCTTTTTGCTATTGTCTTCCCTCCATCACATGCAAATACTGGGTAGGGTGTTGAGATGCTGCTGGCATTGATTATTATTAATTTCAGAACAGCCTTTGAGCATCTAGCACTTTAAAAGCACAAGGGCTTACAGATGTCTCTTGGGATGGAGGGAGACAACAAAAAGAAGGAATGACTTTGTGCCTGCCAGTATTGTGTGAAAGGTATCATAAGAATGACATGGAAAAAAAACGCTGTTACTAAAGGTTTGAATAATTTGCTGGCAGGAGTTACAGCAGCATAGGATAGGATAGCAGCTGTATTATATAAACTGGGTAGTATTCTTCAGTGTCTTCAGAAATGTTTTCCTGGCATTTTGTTTTCTATGCCCTGATGTTGTACTAAAATAGAACATCTCCCTCTCTTTCTCTCTCTCTCTCCGTCGTTTGCTGTACTTCGTAGAATCATAGAACTTCCATAGCTTTTGAAACCCTCTGGCCAATTTATACAAAATTTCAGAGAAAAGAATAAGTAAAATGTTGTTGTGTATACAGTAGTGTTTTAGCTTGAATCAGCAGTGCACTTTTGAATCAAATCTAGCAGTTGTCCCTGTTGCTGTGTTTGCATTGCAGATGCAGAACAGTCTGAATGCACAAACATCCTTCAGAATTAAATTAAATGAGAAGATGTGCCCTAGGAGCACACCAGCAGTCTCCACCTATAGCAGGCTTTAAATTCCACAGGATTAGATGGGAGATAATTAAAAACCCCTGAAATGTGTATAGTGTGAACACCGTATCCTCAGTATCAGCTGTTGCTGTCTACAGGTCCATTTCTAAAGACTATGCTACTTGCAGTTGTAGACATAGCTAAAGTAGTCCTACAAGTTTAATGAAAATTAAAGTGTTGGTAGAAGAGAGACACCAAAACAAGTGCTGTCACTGAAGGAAAGTTTATAACTCATCACCCTCTCTATTCTGAGGTAGCAAACGACTGGCCTGTCACCACATGTGTTGTTCAAGGCAGCAATAGGATATGCTGCCTCTTGCTTATGGAAACAGCTAGGAGATACAAACGGGATTTGGGAATGCTCTTTAGTGGAACTTTTTTTGAAATACACTACAGAGCAGGATAAGTGACTCTAATCAAGATCTGTGTGCAGAGACTATCTAGGGAAAAAAAAGAGTTCACCAGACTCAGGGAAAACATCAGTTCTGTAGAGAGGATCTTTAGAAATGTATACTGCAATGAAAACAACAGCAGAATTATTCTTGTTTCTCTTTCAGTGTGTGATTATCCTCTAGTATTTTTTTTTAAATTTAAATCTGTGTGCAGTCCTGGCTATCAGCAAATTCTTTGAAGACTGCTATAGTCAATATACTAGATGAAAAAAGATCATAATAAGCTAAATAGCTCATGACAGTACCTAACCAAAAAAAGCGTATGATCATTGCGTGATGAATGTTGAAATTATTTTTTTTTTTCACAAAGTGAAGTTTCAAAGAGCTATCTCTAAGAAATGTGAAAATTAAGCCCACATCCCCTTTTCCAAGCCAATTTCCATTGTATAATTCAATATGTGAAAGACAGGGAGAAGAAAAGTTAAGGGTCTTTGGCAGCTTGCAACAGAGAGTGAAGAAACTTGAAGCGAAAGAAAGTCAAAATAAAAAAAAAAAAAAGGATATCTAATTTTAATTCAATTTTAATTCAAGTTTTTCTGACTGTGTTTTTTGAAAAGCCATGTACAAATGTCTACGTGTAGTGTACTGGTTACTGTACCTTAAGTAGCAGTTACAGAAACACAAATACAGAAAAACCTCCTCAAATTAACTCCCCTGCACATACAGACGCATGTAAAATTGTAGAGACGACAAAACAAGAGTAGTCATGAGAAAAATTACGTCCTTCTTTAAAACAGTGAGATTTCTGCATCTGTAGGATTACACTCTCAAAGTAAAGTAAATAGTTTCACAGCATATTCTGTAGATAGCGCAGCAGTGGAAAACAAGCAAGTGTCCATATCTGGCACCCAGATGTTTCAGTTTGCATTTGATACCGAGCCAGCTGCCACACTTCAGGAAGGGAATCTCCCACATATGCTTGTTTGGGAGAGTGAAGTTCATCCTTTGCAGATAAGTTTAAATGCTTGCTGTATATGAGTACGATCTAGGGAGAAGACAGTGTAAAACTGAGTAATTATTTTGGCTAGTGTTGGTATTATATGATGCAGAGGGAAAGCTAACATTATCATGTGGAAAGTCTCCTAATACTCAGCTTTTTAGTAGCTGAGAGAGGAGAAATCTTTGGTGCTGTAATGTTCTGAGAACACTAACAGATTTTATTAGTGAATCTGGTACTGAAGAGGATAATATCGTTTCTGATTAGACTAGTATTAATAACATTTGTTTCCTCAGCAGAAGAAGCAGACAGAAAATCTGTCTGTCTCAGTACGCTATATAGGATCTGTGTTTATATTTCGATATCAAATAGCAATAATCAAATTGCACATAGGTTTCACATTATTTTCAAGGTTTCTTTTCTGTTTTTTAAAACCTTTATAAAGGAGACATGAGGAATAGAGGAGATCAGCTGTTAGGTGAGGAACATGCTTTAACACTACTCACTTAGAGAAGTAATCTCCATTTCGTGTCAATGCACTTCTGTCTTACCTTTCCTATCATTGTTCAGCTGAAATATTACAGCTTGAGAGACAAACTTGTGACTCAAGACTGCTTATGTGGCTTAGCTGTTGAAATATTACAACTCACTCCACAGTGAAGGTGTTTCAGTTCTCTTTCTAATGGGAGATGCTGGTTATAACTGTATGTGAAGACCCTCTATGGACACTGGTCCCGACTTTTTACAGGACAACGTTCCAGTTACTCAGGCAGTATACTAGGAAACACCTTATAATACTCTTTTCTGCGGTGTACGTCATCTGAGCCGGCTTCCCATGAGCTACTGAGAGTAAACTGGCTAAATTGTGGGGCAGCCCAGATGGAAAAAAAGTTTTACTTACAGAAAATGGGATGTAGATAAAATATAGAGGCCTATGTCCGAAAGAGTGATTCTCCCAAATCTCTCCCTACCTCCATAATACCTGCATTTTGCCACTAAAATTGCAGGACACCAGAAGTTCTGCTTCTGTACATTGCTGGAAATAGTTCACTGTCTGATACTCCTGATTTCCATCAGGATGCATTAACTAGATGGTCTCACACGCTGGTATATCTTCCATGCAACCAAGTATATGCAGTGCGGTAGATCACACCAGATGCACACTTTACAGCTTATTGCACTCTTGTGGCCATGAAGTGCCGTATTACTCCACGGAAAACAGCTGCAGGCTTTGTTAGCACCTTTACCAAGGCAAGAGTTTAACACTGTAGCACCGCAGTGCTGATGGATCTTAGCCCATATGGCAAGGGAGAGAATTTCATACTGATCATTGACATTAACACTATTTCTAATGCTAATTTAGTAATTTTTTTCTTTCCTAGATTCTAAGCAATTAAATCTAATGTCTTGGACTAAATTTTTTAAATCAGAGTAGAGCTGGCCAACCTGTAATAGCACATATGGAGACCTGAAATGTTTATTGTGCCTTTGGAACATTGACATTTACAATGTTGTGTTCACCAACAATGTAAATTATCTATGCAGAGACACATTAAGCTTTGAAAATATTAGATTAGGTATTTGATCACACTTAGATGGGATCAGATAGATTAGAATGGATTTTGTTAGAAAGCCTAGGTCATGCAATCTGGTTTTATAAATTCCTTTTCATTCTATGTTTTTTTTTTATTGCTCCTCAAATGTGGAATATATTTTTATTATAGTCTCACAGTAATGATATTCTGATGGTGAGCAATGCAAATAACTGTCATGCCACTCTGCATAAAAATTTTTTGCGTAGCATTGTAGGAGGGGAATGACTTTCTAGAAAGAACACAGTTATGATACTGTTGTACAATGTCAACCAGTTGAAAAGTGCTTCATTGGTCTTCTCCAGCTTTGTGACTCTAAGTGTGTTGTCAACATATTAGAGTAAGTAATTGGAAGAATGTGAACAGCAGATTAACTCACCTAGACTAATGATCAGTCCAATAATCATTCTAATTCTATATTATGTTTCTAATCATCCTGGGATTTCTGTGTGGTCTTCCTCTAATGAGAGACCGTAGAATTTATATAAATAGGTTGCGTTGCCTTAGTGCAATTTATGGTTTATGCCACATCTGAACTTTAGAGAACAGTGTTATTGTTAACCAGTCACTTTTCTTAGCATCTGAAAGAATATGTTTTATGTGTATAAGGCAAACTATTCCAAAGCAACTGTAATCTACAGACCTTAGTGTGCTCAGGATTTCTGAATCCTGATTTGTGTTTTAATCATATCGTGCAAATAGTTTCATAGTTTCTTTCTCTATTATATTTTGGAAATATTTCTGGATAAAGATAAATGCTTTGAAATATTTCTTGTTTACACCATGTGCAGGATGGAAGTATACATTGTACAGGTTTAAAAACTGTTGTTTCGAAGTTGTGTGACTTTTCCACCTACACAGAATATTGCATGTATGCATTCTATGTATACTGCATACTGTGCATGAAGTATAGAGACAGATGCATACCCAGCTCAGAACTTGGGAAACAATTTTGTTTAAAAGTTTTTTTCTGTTATGGAAAATTCACAACATATGTCTTTGTGAATATGCCTTGGGCATCCAGCCTGATGCGGGTAGGTTAACATTAGTGCCAGTCTTTTGCTCATGACTTCTTGCAGGAGTTGAGCTTTCTTAGTCTTCTACACCCAGATTGTGCCCGTGGTGCATCTTTGTAATGTATATTTTAATGAGTTTTGTGTTGTTTGGTAGTTAAAAACTGGAGAAAGCGTTTAAATAAGTTTAGAACTTATTCTTTCATCAGAAGTAAACCAGAGCAGTTTAGATATTTTAGGCAGTTTTGCCAAGTAGCGGTTTGTATTTAACAGTTGCTTTCTAATAGACTAGATCAGTAACAATTTAATTTAAATTTCCCTGTGACAGGCTTCGTGATCCCATGAAATCAAGCAGTATTCAGCAGAAAGTACTACATAAAACAATGAAGTACTTCCAGGTTGAATAAATGTACCTTTGGAAAGCTCTTTTTAGTTCAATAACATATTTCTGTTATATCATTAGGGAGCAGTTAAGGTGATTTCTTCATGTTCCGTAGTTTAATTGTCCTATTAAGTGCTTTGATACTGCTGAGTATATGTAAGCTCTGTCAGCAGGACTTAAATCCTGATTTAACCAGAATGTGTTTAGTTGGATTGAGGCTGTACATCAGAGTCAGCCTTAAGACTATTGATATTTAAGCTGGTTAAGAGGAGAGAAGTATCTTTTTCATAGTTAACCTCTAAGTTCTACAGTTGAATGTAGACTGCACACACTATGCTTTAAATTCACAGCCTTTCTTTGATTTACGTTTCTGAAGTGATATGTGAAAAATCTGTGCAGTAGGGAATCTGATTTTTACAGTTAGATTCATTTTTAGAAAGTGAGTCTGTTAAAAACCCTTGGTACAAGTTTATATTCACATACTCTTAGTATGTGAAATGTAGCTGACAAGTATTTTTATGTGTGCCTGTTAGTTTGAATGCGTGATGCTGATCTGTTTTTTGTCCTAGCTGACGGTTATTATATCCTAATGGGTGCAACCCTGCACTAATGATCCTTGTGTATATAAATTCTTCTTGTTGTGAGCAGACACCATAGGCCACATAAAAATGTTTGCCTCAATTTCCCTGCCAAAAAGGATCTCAGAAACCAGACTTGGCCAAGTAACAGATTTTTTAAAGGTAGAGGAACCCAATAAAATTACCAGCTTTTCACAGCATGAGTCTACTTCCTTTCGACATATTGTGAGGTGTAGGTGAAATATTCTAACTGAACTGACAGTGTAAGGAAGACAGCTAACTAGAAAGCAAGATAAAAGTAAAAACCACCAATGATGATTGATATTGTAATAGCTATTTATTGTTTTGGAGCCTCTTTTGTAGATTTATGATACTTCACCTATATTACTTACACTTACGTGAATCTTGATGTAATGAGATTTAATGTGGTAAAGTATCACAGTTAAGTTCACTGTATCAGGAA